TACTCCATTGCCTTTTGTAATATGCTGTCATTTTTGGTGGCATCTCGCACCGCGTCAAAAGTCACGAGTAGTTGGTTCATGGTCTCCAACACCACAGCACGGACTTCCGGTTCTGATTGGCACCGTTTACTTCGTAACCTCCAGGTTTGACTGCGTCTTTGACTAGCTTTCCGCGTCCGGCACTGGCTTTCCTTGTGCCCACGTCGATTGCACACTGAACACTTGTGCTTTTTTTGTACGAACACAATCGCACAAAATGCCACTCGCCGCATTGCCAGCATACTGAAGGAGGTTTTGCTCCTCTCGAGTTTGTCACCACGGGAGGTTGCTTCGATATCGTCCTGGCAATGTTGAACGCAGGATTGGATAAAGGCTTCTCCAGCATGGCCGTGCCGTGCTTAAGATTTAAAAGGCACTCGCACTCGCTCTCTCACTCACTCGCTTGTTCGGAATACAGCTGTTGTGTTCCCTTCTGTGAGTCTTTTCTCTCCGACACTAGGCACCGGAGCGGGTCAGCAGCAGATACCTCAGATTGACGAATCAGAAGATATAACAACTGGGTAAGCCTTGTGACCCACCCAACATATGTCAGTGGACAGAAGAGAAGGCTGATGATAGGGGACTACTGATATAGCTCATATAAGGAAATATTCAAGGTAAATAGGGACGTTCTGAAGATTTTCGCGAAAGTGGCAGATGTAGATCACCCTCCGTCATGCCTCCAGTACAATAAAAACGCGCACCTCTGTTTTTTTGCCACTGTTGTCTCTGCGCCCCCATCCGCACTGTTAGTTCAGATGGTATCGGTAGAAATAAAAAACACAATACGACCTCTGAAATCCACTATGTGACAGTTTGCCGCCTTCTGGTGCCCAAAAACCTTCAAAGTACCATCTAAAATCCCTGACCAATGGTTGTTACCCTGGTCACCGAGCTTGGCTGCTGAATTTCAACCGATTCGTCACCAACCGAGGTGATATCGTCATTACAGTGCTGGGTGATGATGATTTGACCTCGGTTGATGATGAAACGGTAACATTCAAACTACCCTGTCCTAGTTCGAATAATGAAAAAGCACATGAAAAACCTGAATTCAAATGCCTTCCGGGGCCATCCCAATCCCTGGCTTGATGGGCTGTTTATTCGCTGTTGGGTCTGTGATTAGAGCTCAAAAAGGTTAACAACAAAAGACATAGCCAAACTAGGTTTTATCTAGAGTGAGGTGGAAAAATCGCGTCAGCATTGGGCCAGCCGATTAACGTCCTCAAAATATGGAGGAGAAAGAAAACGATACAATGAAAAAAATTTCACGAAACAAAGACAAAAGAAACAAAGGTTCTGGACAATCAGGGGTATAAGAAGTGTAGGGGTATTACACATACGAAGTTTAAAAAGAAACGACTGCGATCGATCAAGCCACCGGAGATCATCAAACAAGACAACCAGAGCAGACAGTTAAAATGTGGGGTACAGTTGGGCGAACGACGTGCCCCGATGTCGGCGACGCCTTGAACGACATGCAGTGATGAAGAAGATGAGGATCCCGACTACGCACATACAAACCAAAACACCAGTGATGGTGTATGACAATAAGTGTTTCGAACTGGGATTGGACACACACTGCCAGGGACCACTCGACGAGCCAGTACATACTTGAGAGAATTCGTCTGGATCCAATGAATACGATTCAAGATAACTAAGTACTAAATCCAGTGGACATCCACTTTCGCCTGGCTGACCCGTACAAGGAGCCATGGTTCTATATTCGCCAACCGTATCTAAATAGCCCCGTTTGTAGTTCAGACGCAACTGGTAAGTCGGAATGGGCGAAGGAGGATCTGGTCCAATCAACTCGAAAACTATAGCGGCTGAATATGGAATTGTCTCGTTGTTGAATGCCCCAAAGGCACCTAGAAGATAAGTGACGTCCGTGTCGTGGGCAGAATAAGCCATTGTATGTTGCACGGACAGTTGATGACCCTGCACCGTTGATGAATTCGTGGCATTTGTGATGGACTTCAGATGGTGGACAAAGACGTCCAGAAAAACTCCGATTTCCAATCGGAGTATATCAGGAGTACTGGCATACTGAAGCTGTGTGGGGGAGAATGGACGAGCGGAACATAGTTGGAACGCTGAACAGATAGGAGGAACACAGTGAAGAAGGATGTTCTCTGCAAGACAGTAATGATTTTTGTAAACTATTTGTAGATTTCTTCTGGTTAGGCATCGAATCCTCGCACTCAAGATATATTCCCAAAAATTGGCTGTCACATGCCCGGTATTCAATTTTGCGACAGTCTGCGCTTCTGACCACCGAAGTCTGTACTGGCTCTTGGTCGCCAGGGGGGCTTTATCGTCATTTTGATCTACCGCATGGTGGCACATGGCTATTTGTTTCAACTAAACGTATTACCAATTAATACAAAGATAAAGGAACAGCTGCACTGCCCCATTCTATTTTGTCATTAGTCTTTAACACTGTAATTTGACCAGAGAGCATTGTTTTGAGGTACAGCGTGATGCCAAATATAAAAATTTTGCAAGATAGCCCAAAACTAGATCCGGTGGCTAATAACAGGACCGTTTGAAAAACAAAGGCGGGCGTTAGGAGAATATCATGGTTAAATAGAGGTGAAAAACAAAAATAACAGACGATCATTGTACGACACTAGCGTTTCCATTTATCCGCTATCGAAAAACGATGGGATTTTGAGAAATTAGTCGAGGTCACTGAGGTTACTTAGAGGAGAAGTGAGTATTGTTAGTTCGTATAAATAATAATAATAATAATAATAATAATAATAATCGTTCAGCTGTAGCGCCCTTTCGGTGCCTAGCCGCCATGCCACCCGAAGGAAGCACAAGGGCTGGGATACTGTCCGGTTGCCCAAGCCTAGACAGGGGAAGTCGAGTGGCGGAGGTCGGGTTCGAACCACGGACCTTTCGGTCAGTAAATTCGCGCTCTAACCACTTGAGCCATCTCGCCCCCTAGTTCGTATAAGTTCGAAGGTTTAAAGGGTCTACATTACGGTAGAGAATGCTGGTGACCAACTAGAAGTCAGAATCAAACGGGCACGCTGGCCCTAGCACCGCAAACGGCAGGTAAAATTGGACGTCCGTTAGCGGCAATCTATCAGTAACGTCATTTATTAAAAAGCCTGTGGAACCAAGAAGTAACACATCCAGGCTACTAGGGAGTTGGGTTATGCAGTCTAATTTGGAACTGCTATTCAGAGTAAGACTATATATTTCAGCATGTCGAATTCTCGCCTAATTACAAACCATTGTAACACCCCCCAGTAAGCGAAATCAGTGACGAGGCCATTTGAAACATTTAAGTATGCCTAAGAGAAATGAATTTCCTAATCATATTTCCATCATGTTTGGCGTACTGCATTCGAATACTTACCGCCCAAAAAAACTTCCCCACTTCCACCATTTCGTGAAAGACCTCTTCTGTACACCAACCCGGAAGCGACATGTTGTGGGCTCTCATGCAAATGAACAGATCGACAAGGCTCATGAGATTGAATCGATCAATTTTCGCTGTCTCCATGTTTTTGTTTATCAGTTCGAACAACGAGCGATGAGACTGCTCAAAACTGATTGCCGCATCCGAGTTCATTTGTATCTTTCGCAACACATCCAAACAGGGGCATTTGGCTATACTCAACAGGACATCTGCCTCCTAAAGGATGAAAACAAAAGGAACTCAGGATAGACATCAGTCCCATGAGAGGGCAAAGAATCGGGTTTGAGAAGAAACGTTCATCTACTCATCTGGAAGGCCATTAATCAGGGAAGGTTGGTCATCAAGAATGTAGTAACAATACAGGTAAGTTCAAAACACTGCATGGGGATACTTGGAAGCAGATGCACGGCTTTAACAAAGTTTAGATAGTTTTAACCTTCATAAGAAAACTCCAAGTTAGTTCAACTGTGGACCAGTTAGGTGTCCAGCTGCCGTAGCACTCTAATGAAGAACGAGTTGGTATACTGCCAGGCTGCCAAATCCCGGACAGGAGCAGTTGAGATGTAGGGGTTTGGTTCGAAACACGGCCCATTCGATCAGTAAGTTTGCGCCCTACCTGTTGAGCCATCTCGGTCACCTAGCGAAAAACAAACACGTGTCGGGCTTATCTTTCTCATCTGATTTCTCACAGAAGCATCAAACAAGAACATCTTCGTAAATTTGTTTGCTTCCCTAACTCGTGATAGCCCATTCACCGCCCCAAATTATGTGACCTGACAAATAATATGTGACCTGAGATAATGACCTCACAAACCTTTTGTCATTCTTATCGTGATAACGGACCGTGTTCATCTTGCTTACAAAGCCTCCTAGATAATAGTTATCGCCAACCAAATGGATAGCAAGAGTAGGCATCCTCGACTGGTACTTAAACGAGGGTCCTCCGCAATGACAGTCAACAAAAACGCGCCCCTAAAGGTCAAATGACCACCCTACAGATGTTATGTGGGAAAAGCATATTCACTCGCGATTCCAGCAAAGGATTACCTCTCGTCATCCTTATTAACTTTAATAACCGCGTACTTGCTCTATCTGCCACAGTTCCGTTCGCCGAAGATTCGGGGATGCGGAGTGGAGAGCTGCAAATTGGAGGCGGTAGCCAATATAATTGATGCGCAAAAACACCATTGTCAGTAGACAGTGGAAAGTGTGGCAGCTATGCATTGAAGACAACAACTTGGATGCACGAGAGCCGTTGACGGCACAACTGGGCCGTGTCTGCCAATTTCCCCAACCATTGATATGTCTCGTCTCGTGGTCTCCGTCCAGGGAGAAGGTAATGGCCAGCGCGAATGAGCTTTCTGGTAATGGCTTTTCAATTTCATTGACAAGCCATTGCTTGGTCTCTCATGGCTCATTCCCACCATTTGCGTGGTTCTGTGAAAAGGGTTCTTCGGGGAACCCGATCGACTGACCTACGGAGCACAAGACTAAGGAATCAGCACTTATGGATTGTGATCACTTCATACATCTTGGGCGAGTTAGATCATCCGAAAACCATTCGAAGTAGACCAGCATTCCTAATCCGGCGTCCCCATCAGACTCGAGCAATACTCCGAAAATAGTGATGGTCAAACAGCGTTCAGCGGCCAGATTTCTGACTGGTTTAATGACATAGATCGCGCCGCAGCGTTGCAAACTCTGCCCTTGAAGGATAAGCTGATGTCGCGCCCACGCTTCAGGTGATAATGGTTCACGAAAGCTGCTCTGCAATCCCAATTAAGATGGAAATATCATTTTTGGCAAGACCACGGGGACTGATACAGCTCCCCAGGTAGACAAATTTGTCCACTACCTCAATTAGCACATCCGCAAACATGACGCGATGGTTCGAGCCCACCTAATCTAGCAGCAGTTTGCACTTTGCAGATGTGAAGCTCATGCCCAACCGTGAGGCAGAATTATTTGTATTACTTAACGCTGTCCGCATTATAATGGCGTCAGATACAAGAAGAGCTATGTCATCTGGGTAGTCGATATCTGTGAGAGAATGCCCTGTGAGCATTTCGACCCCACAGGCATCAGATGCTGGTAGTGAGTTTTCCATAATCGTATCTACGACGAAGTAGAAGGGGAAAAGTGAGGACAGTCTTATTTGGCTTGACTTGATGTGGTGAAATCAGGCGAAAGCTTCCCACAGGTACTCACACGTCCGCGAGAGATGATTAACACACAGCGTCTGTGTGCTCTTTTAGAAGACAGGATTAACCGTCGAAGTGCGCCATTCTTCAGGCACTTTCTGTTCAACCCTTATCACACTGATGGGAAGAGGATGGCGCTTTAGGTATCACTGGTTTGTGTCACTAACACCCGCATCACATGCATGTATAAGCCGTGTAGGTCGCCGGGGATTATGTAAAAAGTCTGAGTGTAACCGAAATAAACACTTAAAAACGCTGTTACAGTGCACATAAACCAAAGTAAGGTTACATTCGTTATGAAAAGCCCACGAAGCCTTTCGTGAACTCCTCATAATTCACAAAAATGAAAAATGGAAAAGTTGTGGTAACAGTGATAATCACCACCGCTTTCTCCAAGCGCCACAGGACTAAAAATGGGACACGTTAACATACAGCAATCAACTCTGAGTTGGAATTTCATACACTCAAATGTGGGTTAAAAGCGGTACCAGTTGACTGTAAAAAAAGAACGCCATCACCGGGACTTATGAAAAAAATGCACTGCTATTAGCGAACATTGAGGCCTGCAAGAAACGCAGGAGTGACGAACGGCGATGCTTGTTGCTGGAATTATGTAAATATATATGCACCATCCATTGGCATCTTACCTGCCTGACTGTATGCACGGGTATCGGTCTCCATGGGATTCCGTAATCCTGTAATGGCGATGAAGCATTCTGGTATATCCCTGCGGCAACTGCCTGAGCAGACATAAGCGTCCTATCAACGTCTGTGCTGCGCATATGTAATTCTGAGCCATTATACATCGAGGGAATGTATTCATTGTAACGCTGACGTATCCATTGCCCAAGTTGAAATTCTTGCACAATCCCTTTCTCAGTGAGCTGACCCGGACCTAGGGGCCACGTCTTTTCGAAAGGTACCGATGTGTGCAGCATATCGTGTATAGGTGTCCGGTCACCATGCCGAAAAAGTATGTGCAAATGTTGCAGTCGCGACACTGAAGGTAGAGAATCGTTTGAATCCGATTCCACTGAATTCTGTGCAAGATAGTGGGTTGCCCCTGATAAAACGTGTAAACAAAAGATGTACACAAGTGGAAGGAAACACCGAAACACATGCGAAGCACACGGTCCGCACATCGTCAGCCGGACAACCGAAACACCGCAACAATTGTGACCTTGAGAATCAGGTCCACATGATTAGGTTCGTTCGGTCTCACGGATTCACGAATGCACACCGTCGCCGGACAACCGAAACACCGCAACAATTGTGACCTTGAGAATCAGGTCCACGGATTCACGGATTCACGAACTGATACACAAGTGGAAACACCGAAACACATGCGAAGCACACGGTCCGCACATCGTCAGCCGGACAACCGAAACACCGCAACAATTGTGACCTTCCTTATCAGGTCCACGGATTCACGGATTCACGAACTGATACACAGGATCGAGGCTTTTGACCAAGTCTCCCGGGTCGGTTTTGTTCTTGTCGGTCAGTGGCTGTCGTTTACCTGTAAGGTACAAGTGAAAAAGGGTGTAGCACCGCTCTCTATAGACTCAGTGCGGGGCAGTTTGCTTGCCGGCGCGAGGATTCGCATAAATAAGTGTCTAATAGTGCTTTAAACTGGGTTCTAGAAGGAGCGTGAACGACCGTCGGAGGAAGGTCATTCCATGCAGCTACTGCCCGAAATGAGAAAAAAAATTGACTAATGAATATGTGTACTCTGACTCTGAAAATTTTCTTACTATGTCCCCGCCGGGTGTTTGCTGGGTCAACGGTAAAAAACCTGTTTGCCAAGCTTTGTTCAAACAGGGCGTAAGTAAGAATTAGGTCCCCTCGGAGGCGACGGTACTCCAGG